ACTTATTGAAAGTTCTTTCTATAGCAAGTTATTGGTTGCATTTGTTTTTGTCAATAACTTTCCTTTGTTTTCTTTCAACCCATCTTTGATCCAGATTAATTTACTTTTTTAAATTTATTTATAGTCTTAAGCTTTATAGCAGCTTTCAAAACTTCTTTTCTGTTTGCGTTGTTGGTTAATTCTACTAACACAGGGCTGCTTAATTTCTTTAAATAGATCATTAAACAATTTGAAGTTGAACTCTTTATGGACTTTAGTATCAATCTCCTTTATCTTATGTGACATTCCAAAGACAACATTACTTTTTCACTTTCCAATATCCTTATTTGAGGTAACAATCGCCCTTATGGCTCTGATTTAAACAAATTCTCTCTTTGCAATTGATGCCCAATTTCTAAGGTTACTTTTAGCTTTAGTTTTTATTGAAAAATGCAAGGTGATTAATCAGTATTTATTGTATATTAATACATTGATGTCAACCTCTAAAAGCTTGTCATTTTTTGATGTCAACCTCTAACATCTTGGAATCAGGATGATATTTTCCTAATCTCATTTTTTCTGATTCTGAAGGCTGATATATATATATATAATATATATATATATATATATATATATATATATATATATATAAATATATATATATATATATATTTTTTTAGGAACAAAAACAGAAAAAGGATGAGACTTAATTGAATGACGAGTAACACAAGAATGAATTTTAGTAGATGGCACAAGAGATGCTAGCTCTTTAGAGCAGTGCCCATTATAGTATTTATAGAAAATAGAAAGAAAAGTAACAATACGATGATGTGACAAAGGTTGAAGGTTGGCTGCAAAAGCAAGTCCGACTACATTTACAAAGGGTTTTTGTACCTTGTCTAAAAGAGAAAGGGCATTATTAGAAGATCCGCCCCAGATTTGGCAACAGTATTCCATTCAGAGTCGGATTTGAGATTTATAAAGATCGAGAATAGAATCCAGAGTAAGAAAGTGTCGAGTTCGATAAAGAGATGTAACTTTAGCAGATGCTAATTTTGCAACGGATTTGATATAGGGTTTCCAAGAAAGATCAGAAGAGTTAATCCTAGAAGATGAAGGGCAGATGACTCATCGAGTACATTACCATTCATAAATATAGGAAGGTCTAAATTATTGCGATAACCATTAGCCGAAAAAAATTGATTTTTATCTAAATTAAAGTTCACCAGCCACTGTGAGCCCCATGCTGTAGCAGAACTGAGATCCTTTTCAAGCTCAAATGCCTGCTGCAAGTAATCAGAGAGAGTTAACTTCTTATTGTGACAAGAATAAATGGTAGTATCATCAACAAACAATGCCACCTTAGATGTGAGAATATCTGGAAGATATTCTCACATCTAAGGTGGATTGTTCGTTTAGGTGAATTAAAAAGAGTATAGGACCAAGAATTGAACCTTGAGGAACCCCTGAGGTTACAGAGTAAGAAGAAGAGTGCTGTCCATTAAGGACAACTTTTATACTACGATTGGAAAGGAAGGATTCAATAATCTTAAAGATGTTACCAGATACACCGTAAGAAGAAAGCTTATGGAAAAGACCAGCATGTCAAACTTTATCAAACACTTTAAAAATGTCAAGAGCAATGGCCTTAACCTCTCCACCTTTATCTAATACGCGATAAAACCTATCGGTTATTAGTGTTAGCAAATCAGTCGTAGAACGACAAGATTGAAATCCATATTGGCGATCAGAAAGTAAGTTATTAGATTCAAGATGAGAGATTAAGTGTTTGTAAATTAAAGATTCAAAAACCTTGCTTATGATAGGAAGAAGACTAATAGAACGGTAGTTAGATAAATCAGATCGCTCTCTACAATTTTTAAAAATAGGGATAACAGATGCTGCTTTCCAGCAGGCTGGAAAACAAGACTCTGATAAGCAGTTGTTGAATATTTTTGAAATGATAGACGACAGCTCCGGAGAACACTTCTGCAAGACTATAACAGGTATGTTGTCCCGGCCATAAGCTGTAGAAGAGTCTAAGCAGGAAATCACTTTAGATACAGAAGCTGGAGTGATACGAATGTCGAGCAATGAATCAACCTGTTTGATGGCTTTATCAGGTAGAACATAACTAGTGAAATCAAGAGATGATATTGATGAAAAATTCTTAGCAAACAATTCAGCTTTGTCTTTAGGTGAGGTGACAAAGTCTAAACCATACAAAAAAGGTGGAATTAAAGACTTACCCTTATTGTTGATACTATAAAAGATTCTCCAGAAGTCACAAGAGCCTAATTTTTGTGATGAAATACGAGATTTCATGATCTGAGAATAACGGGCTTTGGTCTTAGACAAAACCTTTTTACAATGGTTCCTAGCAGTAATAAACAGACGTATGTTTTCTGGAGAATTGTTTTGCTGATAGATATGGAAGTAATGGTTTCGATTGGAAATTGCAGCAGCACAATGTAAGGAAAACCATAGAGAAGAGTGAGGCTCAACCTGGAATCATTGAGAGGGAATAAAAGATTCCATGCCAGCCTTAATTTATGAAGTTATGTAAGAAGTACATTTGTCAACAGGAAGACGAAAGATTTCTACTTAAAGACCATCCTGAACAAAATCATGGAAAGAGTCCCAGTCAGCTTTAAGGTAGTTGTAAGATGTACAATGATAGGGGGATTCTGATGATAAAGAAGAATGATATAATAGTTTTTGAGATACCAAACCATGATTGGAAGCACCTAAGGGTAAATGTGGAGAAACTGAGCACTGACTAGGAATAGAAACAAGACATAAGTTAAGTAGAGAAGGTAAATGATTCGGGTTGTCTGGAAAGCAAGTTGGAAAGTTTACTACATTAGTTAGAGATTGAGAAAGGCAAAAATTGAGGGCTTAAATGCCTGCAGAGTCACTGATACTAGAGCCAAGCCATTCAGTGTGATGAACATTAAAGTCACCGACAACAACAATATTGGCTGATGGATAAAGAGAGAGGGCTTGGTCAATATGATCAGAAATAACATCAAGAAGAGTGCAGTCTTGAGATGAAAGAGAGCGATATAGAACAAACAGAAAGGTGATAGAGTGAAGTGGTGCTAAACGAAAGCACATAAAAGAGAAGTCTGTGGATTCAAAGCTAATTTCCCAACAAAAGGGTGAATTCTTACGAATGTAAATGTCTAGGCCAAGCATGTGACTATAGGAGTCTTTACGAATTAAAAGAAGATAACCTTTAACACTATTCTGAATATTCTGAGGCCAGCCGGCCTCAGAACCATAAAACTGAGTTTTAGAGCTGTACCCTCATTAGGAGATAATAGAATGAGTTGCCTAGTCATAAAATAAGTAAAGGCTAGAGATACCATCTCTAGCCTTTACTTAACCAAGAGCCCTAAAGCAGGGGGTGTTTTATGTCGGAGTTGGCATCTCCTAGCATTTGCCTAAAAAGGCGTATCCTGCAAGGCAGCAGGACATGTAGATTGTACTGGGCTACATGTTACCAGTAGCAGGATAAACCTGACCTGACATTAGAGTAGCATTATAGTATAGACATATACAGTAGCGCCCAAAAGTTTGCGGACAGACATAAAAAAATGAAATTTTACTAATATTTTAATATAATACATTACTTGAGCCATCATATTATATACCAATTAAAAGGCTTTTAGGTTAACAATTATGTTTTGAGCAAATAATGATTTTTTAATTAAATATCAATAACTGGTTTACAAACTAACGATTTTTAATAAGTTCAAAAGTTTGTGGACAAACTAAAGCTTTTAACATTTTCCCCACAAAATTGCTAATTTGTTGATTTTATAAACAAATACTTTGCGGAAATAATTTACAAACTTGATTTATAAATGATTGAGATTGCGGAATCTAAGAAATCTCATCTCCAGTAAAAAAATTGATCTTGAGATCAGTTCAAAATAAAAATTTGTTTCGTAAAACAGCACAGGTTTATCAAGTCGAAAAGTCTACTGTAAGACAAATTATGAAAAGATACAAATTTACTAGATCTACAAAAAATAAAAATCAATCAAGAAAGCCACGCAAAACAACGCATTATCAAGATAAGAAGGTTGTGATAATAAGCAAAGAAAATTCCTATTTGACTGCTGTCAATATAAAAGAAAAAAACACACAAATATATATACATTTACGTACAATGTTGTCATATTATTATTCATCTTTACTAATTTTATGTGTGTATAACATAAGGTTAATAAAGATTAATAAAGAATAGTAAAAGAATAATAATACAAAAATTTTTAATAATATTAAATGGAAACCAATCTTTTATATTATCTTTTATATTAAATTTAGCAACAATCCATATTAAAATTATGAGCCTTAGTGACTAAAAATATAATAAACATATACTAATAAACAATGTTAATATAAAAGCTGTTTGAGCGCTCTTATTGCTTATAAAAAAATGTTGAACAATTTGCAAAAAATCTCGCTTTTTTAAAAATATTTTTATTATGTCATATTAATATGTAATTAAACATAACAGGTAACATAACTTTCATAGACAAAAAAATATGTAAATAATTTTGGGAAACATAACGCTTAAGACATTTTACTAACATAATGATAACATAACATAACGATAAACATAACGCTAGATTTTTTACTTAACTACTACATGTAATTTTTTAAATAATTTTAAAGTTAAATATATATTATAATTTTACAAGAGAGCAAATGATTGTACTTTTATTTAAAATCTAAATTTAATGTTTAACTTTATGACCCCTTATTAAAACCACACATAAACATTCATTTAAAAATAATTATTAATAATAAACTAAAAAAAAAGAAGATAAAAATAACAAAAATAACAAAAATATATATCTTTAAATATATACTCGCTTAAATTTAAGGCAATTTAAGCGAATACTCTTAATTTGAGCCCTGAATTAAAAGTATTGCAATCGTAAATTGAATTAAGCAACTTGCAATGGCAATATGCTAAATTCGAGCCATACAATAGGAATTTAACTAACCTGCAATAGCTTCTGTCTCCTGTTGCGAATCATGTTTCTGATGAGACTGCCAATCAATAACTTGATTAATATTTTCTATTGTAAACTCTTGATAATATCCTTCACCAAGAATTTCAATAAGAATATCTTCAAATGGATTATCTTCAACTCTTATTTGAATATTAGCAACATGTTTTGCAACCATGTTTGGTACAAATTCAACAGAAAACTCAATAGTTTCATTGATAGCAATACTCAAGATAGTTGAAAAATCTCCTGAGACTGCAGAGGAAATTTGTTTAGTGTGATTATCAGGAAAATCCAACATTTTAGCCTACAGTGTAAAAATCATATTACTAAAAAAAACAAAGTTACAAAATCGTTAAACATGTAGAAAACTTGTTTAAAATAACACATGCAAATTTAACACAACTTAAAAATAAATTTTAGCTTTTGAAAAAAAAACTTTACTTACAACTAAATCTAAATTACAAATTTGCATTGATATTTTTGGCACTAAAACTATTTTTATTCCACAAACGCAAACAAGTTGTTTTACCAGATGACTTAAAATCTTAAGTTATCTTTATGACTATTTAAGGAATCATAAATATTGAATGCAAACCACTACACACATGATATTGTATGATTAACCCACTACACACATGATATTGCATGATTAATCAATAAATAGAAAAACCTAAACAAAACTATGCAAAACAAATTTATTTTACTCAAATGTTTGTGATTTAAGTATTTTGAGATCACTAATTTAGATATGATATACTTAATCAGACTACACTGGAAGCAAAAGGTGGGCATGTTTGTGAATATAATGTAAACAAAAGTTTTTTTTTTAATTTAATTTATCTTGTAAACTTGATACAAATTTATTGCAGTGTTGTGTAATTACTTTTTGTTTATGTTTTAGCAATTATTGTTAACTAATACCTAGCAATCACATTTGATTAGTTTCTGTTTAATAATTAACTAGTTTCTGTTCTATTTGTGACCATTTTATGATGATTTCAATAAGTAAACCAATGTCTAGTAAGCCACAGATCAGACATACTATATGTGATAGTTATTCCTAGTAAGCTGGTCCACAGATCACACATAATATAAGATTTGAAAAAATATTAAGCAACAACAAAGTATAAACAAATATAAAAGTATACAAAGTACAACTTTGTGAAGATATTTGTTGCTGTAGTTAAATTAGATCAAAGGCAAATTTTTTTCTAAACAGTTGTTTAGAAATTTTTTTTATTAATAAAACAATGTATCTTAATGACAAAATCTAAATTAATTTTGACTGTAATTAAATAACTGCCTTAGAAAAAAATCTAAGGTCAGTTTTAGAATTAGGAGTCTCAAATTACTGTGATACAACATTTATACCTTCAGTAGCAAGCCAAATATTTTTTTTTGTGTAGTGCAAGGTAATGCAACTAACCTCTTTATTTTTCAAATGAATAAAATAACTTTTGTTTGGGTCAACAAGTTTAATGTGACATTTGCAAGACAACAACCCATCATTTTTAAGAACAACTTGTGCTTGTTGACAATGCCCCAAAATTAACCTAAAAAATAAAATAAATTATATTTGTGCAAAAAAATTTTTCCATAAGTTTTATATAATAAACATATAATAATTTATTTAATATATGTATATATTAGAATAACATATACAAAATTATTCGTTTTTGAGAATGCCTGATTCTTAACCAGCAAAACGAACACATAGTTTTTTAAATAGTTTCTGCTTTATCAGTAAATTAAACATAAATCTAAATAAAAATTAAACCTAATTAAGCAAAACACAAATTAAATTAAAATTAAAAACCTAATTAAATTAAAATTAAAAACCTAAATTAAGCAAAACACAAACATTATAAATAATTTTTGCATAATTAAAAAAACAAACACATAAATCTTAATAAAAGGGCTTTAAAGATAATAGAGAAACAAAACAATAAAATAACTTAAAGGCACAAAATAAAATTACCTAAAGACACGTATGAGAGGTAATAATGCATTTTTAAAATCTTCAAAAAGGATTAAAAAAGAATGCATGTTAACTGTTACATAAATAGTTTATGTAGAATTTAATTTAGACAAAAAATTTCTAGATATAACATTTCAAAATTTGGTTAAAAAATATACATAAAAATATATAGATATATCAAAGACATCTGAAATATTATATAAAGTAGTAGTGCAATTGTAAAGCACTCACTTAGTAAGTGAGAGGGTACAGAGTTCGAACCTCATTAATGTCGAAGTACCTGATGGTATCATGTTCAACTGTAAAAGATTGCAAGCTAAAAGATTTCTTGTTTTATTAAAAACATTTTTTTTCAAGAAAAGCATTAACAATAAAAAGGCTTTTTCTCTGATAAATTTTTAAAATTTTATTTAAAAAAAAAACTGTTCTATATATTCAAACAAAATATTTTTTTTGAGTTTGTTCGGACAGTGTATTTAGGCAGTCTAGCTGTTAAACTCAATATTTTTTGAAACATTAACTTTTGAATCTTAACCACATGTTCACATGTCAACTTTTTTTTTTATATACTTGTATGACTATTTATAGATAATAAACATTTAAACGTATAAAATTGCATCAATAAATAATTTTTTCAGGGTGGCCAGCTACATTATTAATTTATCTACCTACAAAGCTTCAAACAGGCTAAATATTAAGTCTTTCAATACTTAAATTACAAAACAAAACAAAAAGAACAAATTTTTATGTCATCATTCATTTGGTCTAAACAAAAATCTTTTGACTTTTCTATAGTACTTTCAATTAACAATTTACTACCTGCTGCTGGCCACCCTGCATTTTATTTAATAATTTAACCTTTGAAAAACAATAATAGGTGTCCCTTGAAGGTTTGTTGTGATTGGCTTTAAAATTGAAATATGTGGGAGAACTCCATCACCGATGATATCAAATGTGATGTTTCTACCATTAGTAATAGACGCTGACAATCCATCAACTACAGCTTCAAAAACACATGAATATTGCTAAGTAAAAAAAAATTAACAAGAAAACAGTATAAATAAAAAAATTATAATTTTCAACCAATAATTAATATATTACGAAGATTTGAAAAAATACCTGTATTGCTTGAGGTTGGAAGGAGACAACCACATATATTGTGCTTTGAGGGAATATTGAAGCACGTTGCATATTAATTTCAAATACATCAATAATTTTATGAACTGACTTATTTGATACTGGTTTTAATGAAAAAACAACATCACATGGGATCTGAAAAAAATTCAAATAGTTAAAAATTTTTTTTTTTTTAAATAGTATCATTTTTTTAAATAGTACATTTAAAAAAAAAATAGTACTAATGCCAACATTTTTAAAAAAAAATAATACCACTATAAAAAATGTGCAGAATTTTAATTACTTTATTAGAATTTGTGATCTTAAACTTGACATTAGCAACATGTCCTACAACTACATTGTGAATAAAAAATCTATTATCATCTTCAACATATATGCATGTTTTAGAAGCAAAATCATGGACGGGGGACATTGTGTTCAAACTTTTGATAATTCGATGCTCTTCAAATATTGATGATGCTCCATTTGGCAGTGACAAAATACTTGGTAAACAAACTTCACCCACAAATTTGAAATCAATTCCCCCTGGATGATCTTCAGGATCTCGATCACTTATATCAATAACAACATCCTAAACAAATATCATATTTAAGAATGTTGTTTTAAACAAATATCATTTTTAAGAACTACATTGTTTTAAAAAAATTAAATAACATTTTTAAGAACGACATTGTTTTAAAAAAAATATATAATTTTTAAGAACTATATTGTTTTAAAAAAATATATACTCAAGTAAAAAAATCATACAAAAAAGAGTATTGCAAATAATTCTCAAAAATAATTATTATGGACAAATATTTTATAGAACTATAACTGAAAATTTTTTAAAAATTACTTCAAGCCCAATCATTGGAATTTCTGATATCATATCAACAGTAACAACACAACTTCCATTAAGAGCTGCTACAATACCATTTGATGGATTAACAGAAAAAATTCCAAAGTTTGACTTTATGTTATGTCCTCCAACAATTCCAGTAGGAGCAACATTTATTTCATTACTAAAATACAATCACACAGAACAAATTCATAAATATGTTAAACAAGAATATTTTCAATTAATTTCAAAAAATATTCAAAAAACCAAAAATAACTTCTTATTCTTATCATCATAAGATTGTTTTTGTAAAAAAAAAAAAAAGTTACCCTTTGAATGATTCTCTTTGAGATCGAATTTTAGAAAAACTAGAAGTGTGTTGCGATGAGCTAACAGTTTTTGCTTGAGGCTTTAAAATATTGAAGCGAAAATCAAATTGACTTTTATTTTCTATAGTAAATGTTCTTGTTTTCTTTGCATTCACTACAACAGCTCCAAAATTAATTTCACGTCCTGGGCTTATTGTATACTTGCTAAAGATTGACTTAGCACTGACCTTCACAGGGATGCATGCAATAATTTCACCATTTTCTCCCATGTTTGGTTCAATTACCTTATAATTAAATATAAATTTAGAGATTCTTGCATAAGAAAAAATTCACATTAAGTTTTTATTTAAAAAAAAAAAATGCCCATTACTTGTCATTTACTTATAGTTTAATTTTATACCCAAAATGAAAAAGATTATACATAATATACCAAGTTAATATAATTTAAATTTTATACGAACCTACCTGACATTTGAGAATTGGCATATCAGATATAGAAATTTCTTTATGAGATATAAAATTAATTTGAATTTGGCTTGGTCGTTCATTTGGTAACAGTACACCCTTGTTTGGAATTACAGACAATATTTTGTTAATATTCTCCTTCGAGCCATTAATATTTTCAAGCAAAAATGAGAATGAAATCTCATAACGACCTTTATTTTTCAAAGTGCAAACTAATTTGGCTTCATCTCCAACTTTGAGTGTCCCGAAGTCCAAAATACCATCAGCACCTATATTATTTAAAAATTATTTTTTTCAAACCTTGCAATGAATGAGTAAGAAAAGAAACAAATGACTAAACTTAAAAAGACATTTCAAGAGTCAGTAGTCAGTAGTCAGCAGCAGTTTGTCAAAAAAAATAACTAAAGGCTAGTCAAATAAAAGTTTTTCTAAAAAAAAAGCCAGTCTAATGAAGCAATAGTAAAAATATTTATCCATTTAACTATAAAATTGAAAAAAATTACAGATTTATTTATAATTTACAAAATTAGGTTTGGTATCACTTGTATAGTTAAAAACTGGTCATTGGAGTGACACCTAAATAAAATAAACAAAGAAAGCAAAAAACAAACAAACAACAACAAAAAATAATATAGATAGTGACCAAAAAATAATTATAATAAAAAGAAGAACAATAACTATTAAAAAAAGCCAGACTAATAACAAAAAAGGAAAATGTGAATGAGCTGACATGAGAGATAATGAATGAATGAGATAACACAACGTTTAATGATCAGAAGGGTGATAGAAAATAAAAAAGAAAACAAAAAGAAATATTTAAATATTATGATGAGACAAAAAAATATGAGATCACTTAAATAATAGCAACAAATGTAGTACAAACAAAAATAGAAATACCCAACAATATATAAAATACATGACATAATAAACAATACACAAAAATACACAACAATATAAACAATGCAAACAACATAAATTAATAAAACTTGAAAATTTTTATTTTATTTTGTTTTTTTTTGATAATAAGGTTTTTATTTTCTAATATCTCAAGAACATTTTTTCTTTCAACTTTTAGTTATTCTGTTTATTTAATATTTTTCTTTTATATTCTTTGTTTTAACTTCATGTTTTTGTAAATTTTCTATTCTAAACAATTTTTATTTATTTTTTTTATTTTTTTTTATTTTTTAGCTTTTCACCATTAAAAAAATACTTCCTCCATTTACGATGTCATTACAAAGTGTTTTTGAAATCTCATAACGACCTTTATATATAAATATAAAAAATTTGTAAATTATATAGAAAAGTTGGTTCAAGCATAATCTGCTAAAATGCAGAACCATAAAATTTAATTGTCAAAATAATATTTTGTTTAACCAAATGACATGAATTACTGGCTGTGATTATACATAATCATAAGTATGGATTAAAAACATTTACTTTCAGTGTTTTCACTAGAAACATTTCAAGTGAAATGTTTCTAGTGAAAACACTGTGTGTTTTCACTAGAAACATTTTCACTAGAGTGCATACTTTTAGAATTAAAAAAAAAGTAATAATAATAAATAAAATTGCAAACTTATTATGTAGTATAAAAAAGCAAAAATTAAAATAAAAAAAATATTGAAAAATAATCTTCAAATAACCTTTTGGAAAACTAAGATCAAGAGCAATATCATAAGCTTCTGCAATTACGGTGATGTTTTCAGCATGAGAAAGACCCAAAACATTGTCCCCATCAGATACCTAAAAAATAGCATTGTCCTCTTATTTTTGAAGTATTGAGTTTGAAATACCAGTGTCACTTCATATTATAAAAACTATAATTAAAAACAAAAGCGATTGGTCATGCATTGTTATATATTTAAAAATTATAATTATTTTTTTTTAAGTTGATTAAGGTGCCCCAAAAAGTCCTTACGGTCTTATCACAGAGCACCGCCGAAGAGCATTTAATAGGAAGTTAACGCCTCCTTCCCAACCGATGTCGCAAAACTTGCCCAGAGGAGGGGTTTGAACCACGGATCTTACGTTTCTGAGGCAAGATATGTACTCAAAAATTATAGTGATTGGTCAAGCATTGTTATACATTTTAAAATATTATCTATTAAGGCAAGATTCAAAAATTCAATATAAAGTTTTAGAATTGACCAAAGGAATAAGAAACTTATGGAGAAATATTTAGGCAATCCATTTAAAATAGATACTATCAATATTTGGAAAATACGCATTATCAATGTTCGGAAAATAGATATTATCAATAATTGGAGTATTATCAACACTAAATATAGAACATACATTGAATAATTATTATATTTTAAAAGTTTAAAATCCGATTAATTAGATTTAAATTGAACATCATATTATGTTTTCTATTTCTTACATTAGTATTTCCATATTTTATTCCATATATCTCCTGTTAATTTTAAAATAGTTTGAACTGCAAATTGCCTACCAGTTTTTTCTTAACTACATAATTATGCTTGAAAAACATTTTTACCAAAATAGTGCATAAACTCAAACAATCAATCCACCAAAAGTTGAATGTTTCTTTGATTTACAAGGGATTTCTAAACAATTTTTGACTTATAAGGGATTTCTAAATAGTTTTTGATTTAAAAGGGATTTCAAAGCACAAAAGATCCTAGCTTTAACTGTTTGGATCTGAAAAATATTTTACAACTTCATAATCAATTTTTATCAGGGTATTTAGAAATTTTATAATGCTATCTTTAACATTGAAACTGTTTCTTTTATGATTTTGTTCTTGGTAGACTTCAATATATATTAGACTTTAATAGACTTCAGTCTATTATATAGTCTAATGTATATCTATATCTGTAAAGTCTTTACATAATATAACTTCATAACATCTTATCCCATTATTAACACATTGATTAGTTTTCTAAATGGTATTAACAATATTGGGAGGTGGAAATAATGAATTTTAATGGACATATTTTATGATTCAATTTTTTTTTATACTAAATGCATTTTTATATTATAATGATGAAAACAAATTTTTTTTTTTTTTCAATTTTAAGTTTTTTGTAAAATTATTAATAGTGGATCATTTTTTTGTCTATGCACTTGTAAAAGCATTACTAGTAGAGCATTTTTTACATTTCTTTACAATCAATACAGGGTAATAGACCAAATATTGGTTTATTGCCCTTTTACAACCTTAATTAAATATATGCTACATTTCAAGAAAATTCAAAGGTAACATCAATTATAAAATCAGCACAAAAAAATTATGGTAAAAATACGAATTTAGTACTTTAATGGAAAAAAAAACATACTTCTACTCTCACAATCTTCTTCACACTTATAGCTTTAATAGCACGAAAGTGCATCTGTAATTCAAATTCTGACATTGGCTCAATAATTCCAGAGGTAGAGTTAACTGTAAAATCATCACCAATATTTTCCATTCCACTTAACTTCCATGCTGCAGGAAGCAAAGTTTTATTTCTCAAAAAAACCACACGTGTCTCTTTCCTAAAATAAAAAAAAGGCATTTTTATTTAGTTTTACATAATTAATTTAACTAACTTCTTTTCCTAGTATAAAATGTAAACCATTAAAATATTTTCAAAATATAATGCCAATAGTTTTGCTAAGTAGTTGATTAAAAAGTTTTTATTAATCTAAAGGTTGGAAAAACAAATAATGTTGGTATAACTTTTTATAAATCATCTGATTAAGCTTAAATTTAGTTGCAACACAAATATTTTTTTCATCTACTAAAACATCTACCTCTGATAAGAAATTGACCTTTTTTAATTTGTTTACATTTATTAAACTTCTAAACTCATTATCAACACTACTCAAAAGAAGATAACCATGCCATCCTAAGATAATAACCATGCCATCCTAATCTTGTTATTCCTCACACTGCTCTTTTAAAGATTACCCTTTTTTAATTTTTATTTCATATTTTTTGAAGCCATTCTTTACAGAAGATTGTCATGAATTAGAATCCATTGGAAACAAATTTAAACCTGCATCTTTTTTTTGTGACCCTTATTCTAAAAATTCAAACTGTTCAAAATACATTTGATAAAATTTGAAATATAATTATAAATTAAGATTATACTGAGAAATTGAAAAAAATTAAAAATAAATAAAAAAATTAATTTAGATGCACAAAATATATTAAAATCGACAAATTTTTTAATTTATCATATGAATCAATTGTTTGATTTTTTTTAAATTTGTTTAAATTTGACAATTTGTTAAAAATAAATTTATAAAATTAAAATAATCAAATAAAGAAAGTACAAAAACATCATTTTCTTTGTAAGTTTTATAACTGTTACAAACAACACATTTCTCTTTTAATGTACGAGAAATTCTTTTAATGTATGAGAAATATCACTGTCAGTAATATTTGAATTCTTTGGAGTAATTAAAGCACAGAGATTTTGAATATTTTTGTTGTTGCAAGGATAACAAACATCAGAACTATTTGACAGCATTCTAAACAAAATGAATTTCTTTTTTGAACAACTTTTTGACTTGATGAAGACCACTCAATCTGAAAGTCTTGACAGCATTACTGATAGCCTTACTTTTTATTTAAACTTTAGGTTTGTCTTGCAACTTAAATCCAGAGTCAATTAAGTCTTCGATCAGTTGAATCAACAAATTACTTTTCTCAAAAAGTAAACTTTTTTTTGTCTCTATTGACACAACAGAAACAGAACTATCTCTTATTTTCTGAAGTCTTCCTATTTGCCGGTTAATTTTGAAACAACTCTAACTAATGTTTATATACAAAAAATCTATATAAATGGTAACAAAGTAAACAAAAAATCTATCAAAATGCACAATATTGATATCAAAAAAGCTAATCAAAAGAAAAAATTATCTAATTATAAAAAAAACTTTCAACTAAATACAATCAAAAAGAAAGAAAATTAAAATAATGATCCAAAATTGCTTGTATAAAAAATGAACAATCAACAGTGCAAATTAAACATAAAACTACTAGAAAAATATATAAATAACTAAAAATCATGCAAAAGTATTATTTGTTTGTTATCCAACACTAACTGCATAAACTTAGCAACAAACAAATCAACTCTACAAAATGAATCAATAAAAAATTTATCATGTAAAGAAATTGATTTTGGTGTAGTTAATATAACTTGGTATTTAGCTTGTGAACAGATCATTCAGTCAACAGACTTTGAAGAAAACTGTATGATAGTCAAACTTATGCTTAAGATCTAGAATGATATAACTTTTGGGATACTTTTGTGGGATTAAACATAAAATTGAAATCTCAAATCTTTTCAGAATCAATTCTTGATCAAAATTACAAGAATTTTTTAAATAACTTAAAAAAATCAAATAAACTAGTAAACTTTATGCAACACATTCTTGATATGAGTTCTATAACAGTTGGAAAAAAAATACACCACAGAAACTATTGTAAGAGCATTTGAATACTTTGCAATATCTAGATCATTATTTAGAAGAGTTAGGGAAAACTTCTAAATAATTTTCTTCTAACAAAGGTATCTTCGAAACTGGAATCTGCAATGTATATTTTTTAAAATTTGAAATAAAAACTTAAATGATTTCTGTTTTTTCAAAATTTGAAAATGAAATGCAAATAAAGTGTTTTCTATTGATTGATGAAGTCTACATCAAATCATCTCTTACTGACCATGTTGGCTCAATTTTTGGAAAAGCAGTTAATAAACTAGACTCTTTAGCAACTAATGTTTTACTTTTTATGTTATTGTCACTTTATGGAGGACTACAATATCTTTGTAGAATTTTATCAGTTTGTTAGCTCAATTCTAAAATTCTTTTTGAGTTTGAAATTGAGTTTGAACAAACTCAATTTGCTTTAGTGGGAATAAAGATAATTAGAAAGATACCGGTCGTGTAAATCAAGCACTATTTAAAGATTTGATTGTGTTAATCCACAGTTGAACAAAGATAATATGTTCTTGTTACATGACTTTGTGCATCTACTTAAATCTGTTCGTAATAACTGGATCACAGAAAAAAGCCAAATATTATGTTATAAATATAATGGGGAAGATTAATATGGATGTTGGTCTAATATCTTAAGTTTGTTCAGACTTAAAGAAAATAATATTGTAAAATTGTTTAAACTTACAAGTGTGTCTGTTGCATCGAAACCTATTGAAAGACAAAAGGTGTCTACTTGCCTATAGGATTTTTATGATGAAACTGCAACTGCTCTAAAATGTAACATAATAATAAAAGAAGCAGACAACACCATTACTTTTATTAAAATATTTGTGAAGTTATGGAAAATTGCCAATACAAAAAGACTGTATGCTGATAATCAATATAAAGATTCAGATAAGGCAGTTATATCAACTTCAGAAGACGATAGACAATCATTCTTAATTAGTTTTGCATCAATGGCAGAACAAATGACTAGCAAACTAGGTAGCAGACAATTTCAGTTAACCGAAAATACAGGTGCAGCCTTAACTTATGTAATACTGGAAAAATTTATAACTGACCCACTAAAAAAATGTTTGGAAAACTTCAACAAGAATCTGGAGACATATTTTATCAATGTGCAATAAGTCATTGAAAAAGTAATAATTTGGATAAGTATATATAGCTGGATATATTGTGCAAAATGAAGTTGAAGAGCAAGAAAAAACTAAATTTTATTACAATGAACTTGGCAATAATGTCTGCCAAAAGTAATCATATAGGTTTGAAAAAGCCAAATGAAAATGTTTGTTAGCGAACCATACTTTCTTATATTTTGTTTTATGAAATTATTAATAATGTCTGCCAAAAGTCACTCTGCAATGTTTTAATGTTAATATCAGAATCTTTTAATTTTAATTAAAAAAAGCATGCTATTTCACTCTCAAACATTTTTTTTTTTAATCAGAGAGCTACTACAAAAGATTTTGCATGTGTTTTATTTACTTTTAATAACTCTTATGTTACTTATTATATATATATATATATATATATATATATATATATATATATATATATATATATATATATATATTTTGTTTTGTGATTTGGTAAAAAACTTTTTTTAAAGAAATTTTTTAAAAACTTTGTTACAATATTTTTGTTAATACATTTGTTATTTTATATTGTAAATAATTTATGGTTTTTTCAAAACTTCAGTATTTTAAAATATATTTATAAATTAAAATATTTTGCCGCCTTTTTTGATTGTGCAATTTTGTTAAAGATTTTGTTTTATAGACAAAGCTTTATAGCTTTGTCTATAAAACTTTGTCTATAAAATGTTATGTCTTTATATATCTTTATATATGTTTTCTCATCTACCTACCAACTCCATTCTTTTTAACATATGCAAACTTTTAAAAAAAGTTTGTTTAGGTTAAAAAAAAGGGTTAAGCTGTGCATAAGAGGCAATAAGCATTTGTGAATAAACTTAAATGCTTTTATAAACACCAGTATGGGTTTAATCATTCCACAACCCACTCACTTATTGAAATTACTGAAGCAATAAGAAAAGATGATGATAAAAAGTTTGCATGTGGTGTCTTTGTTGATCTGCAATAAGTTTTCGATACAGTAGATCACTCTATCCTATGGAATATGGAATCAGAGGAATTCCTCTCAGATGGTTCACTTCTTATCTTCATAATAGATTGCTTTTTTTTTAACAATGTCCCACAAGACTCAGTATTAGAACTAGAGACGTGCCAGAATCAGTTTATGCAGAATTCCTGCTTCCGGGTACCTGGATGAAAATAGTGGGTCTGAGTCAAGATACCCGGTACCAGGTTGATTTTAAAAAATTGGAACAAAAGCTTGCAAAATCTATAGAGCTGAATTTCTTTCACAAAATAACACTGATTAGTTTGCGCTAATTAAGTTTGCATAAATATAACAAGTTTTTTTACAAACAACTATATTTACACTTAAGGTCACACAACTCAAATTACACAAACTAAAGTGTAAACTTGATGCCTGTAAATCTCCCTTTGGGTTGTTAATATTTGGAATAACTTGCCATCTGACATTATTAATGCCGTAAACATTAAGAGCTTCAAATTTAAAAATATATTAACTTTAAAAAATACTGTTCATGCTAACTAATTTTTGCTTATAATTGCGGTGTTATATATAATACATATTTTTTTGTAATTTATTGCGAAATAATAGCTAATATGCGCTAATTAATCAAAAATTATGGAAAATAAAAGAATAAGAGAGCCAAGAGAATTGAGAGAGACACGGAATTGCAAAAAGAAAAAGGAGAGTAGACCTTTTTGAATGTTGTGTAAATAAAATTTAAAAATTTAAAACAAATAAAAAAGAATTTAAACAACACTTATTTACTGTGTTTTATTTTAAATGTTTAATTAAATTCAGATTAGAATAAACAAACATTAAGTATTTGAAAGTTTAATTACTAAAAATTCTCTTGTGAAAAAAATAAAAAGAAGCTATTCAAATATCCATAAAAAATATCTTTTTGCAATATAATCTAATTATTTTTT